ATATATATATATATATATATATATATATATATATATATATATGTATATATATATATATATATATATATAAGAACACAAACGAAGCGTTACATATTTATATTTATGGAGAAATGAATTGAAGCAAAAGGCAACAAAACAACCAACAAAACAAAAACAAAAAAAAACAAAGAAATAAACAAAAAACAAAAACAAGTAAATAAAAACAAAGAGACAAACAAACAAAAAAACAAACAAACAAGCATCTACGGAGAAAAAACACAAACACTGTTGAACTAAAAAATTGAAGAAATTTCCTCTTTCTGAAAGCTTTCGTTTTGAGGTGTACATACACCCGAGATATGCCGGGGTGTATGTACACCTCAACCAGCTGAGGTGTACATACACCTGAAACATGCATGTCAGTGAATATACACCTGAGCCAGCTGAGGTGTACATACACCTGAGATATGCCGGAGTGTACGTACACTGAGGTGTACATACACCTGAATATGATATATGAGGGTGCAGATACACCCGAATCAGCTGAGGTGTACATACACCTGAATGGTGTTGGAGTGTACATACAGCTGAGTAAGATATGCAGTGCTGTGTACGATGAAGGCAACTGAAACAAATAAAAGTTGATTCTATAATTTATCATATAATATATGCAATTTCAGGTGTATTCTCACCACCAACAAGCATATTTTTATATTTTATTTTATTATATTTTACTCATACTGAGGTGTACGTACACCTCATGAGGTGTACATACACTTCAACCACGTGTACGCTCGCCGTCTTGTCGTTGGTGTGAACTATACATGCACCTGATTGGGGTGTATATACACCTCATTGGGGTGTATATGCACCTCACTGGGGTGTATATACACCTGGTTGGGGTGTATATGCACCTGATTGGGGTGTATATACACCTGATTGGGGTGTATATGCACCTCCCTGCGGTGTACATCCACCGCCTTTGAGGTGTACGTACACCTCACTGGGGTGTACGAGGAGGTAAGTGTGTATGGAATATATACATATACAGCCTATATATATATATATATATATATATATATATATATATATATATATATATATATATATACACCGGAATGAGGTGCGTATACACCCGAATGAGGTGCGTATACACCGGAATGAGGTGCGTATACACCGGAATGAGGTGTATTTATTCTGAACGTTCGCCAAAGAGCCTCAATAAGCTGATGAAAATATTAATAAAATCTAAATATATCATAACAGCAGCAACAATATAATCATCTTCCTCAAGGCGTAATGTACCTCTACGTATAATGAGTTGTGTATCTATAACTAAATAAAAAGAAAACAACAAAAGAGATAAAGAAGAATACAAAGCCTGAGCCCATGTACCTAAAAAAAAAGAAAGAAATCCTAATATTAATAAATTTATACTCAATATAAACACAACACCCATACATGAAGTAAATTCATGTTTTGTTTGACATGCATATAAAGATAAACATATACATATCACCACAGCTCCCCCCAAAGCAAACGCAACAGAAGAAATAGTATAAAAAGCAGCAACAACACCAACAAGCATAGACTCAGCCACTGTAAATATAAAAAGTAATAAATAATTATAAGGATATACAAAACGAGCTCGAGAACACATCAACACCAATGAAGAAACCAGCATACAAACTGCAAACAAAAAACACACACACACACAAACCCTAAACCCTAAACCCTAAACCCTAAACCCTAGATACCCAGGCCATACCTAAACCCTACTTTTTACTACACATATCTCCTTCAACCGATAATCATAGATTCTACAGCCTATATAGGCTCT